GAAAGACTGGTATAGGTTATCTGGCTGTGGTACCTTACTCTGGAAGAGTATATCACTAATATCTATCAACAGGTCCTAATGATTCTACTTCCAAACTGTCATTTGAAATTTGTTTACAGCAATCACTCCTAAAGACCTCTCAGCTTCCATGAACATAAGGCCCCTGTAAACTCCAAACTTCAGAATGTCCACTAGGTTCTTGTGTTTTAAACTATCCAGTGGCTTTTAATTGCAGTTAGAATCCAGCCTCTATCCTCTATCCAAGATTTCAAGGCCATTCAAGATGTGATCTAATCTACCATCCCTTTCTTTCCTCTATACACAGGACACAATGATCTTTCCAGTCTTGAAAGTTGCCTGGCTCCTCCCCTGGCTCTTACATAGTCTTTGCACCTATTCTTTCCTAAAATATATTGTTCCTAGAGATCTTTTCATGATTATCTTCACAATTTATTTTTCCAAAACCATCTCTATGTATTCCCTAACCACTGAGTGAACACCACACTTGCACACTCTGTTGCATTATTCTTCCTACATTCTAATTCTTTTTTATTTTTAGTAGAACTCTTTGGTATCTGAAATTGTTATGCATTAATTTATACTTGGAATGTACCTCTCTCAGAACAGAATGGCCTTGTTGCCTTTTCAGGAAAAGGTGGGGAAAGGAAAAAACTACTTCTCATTCTTTTATGATGAGCCTACATCATAGCAGATATAAAGTGCTCCAATTCACGTGGAGGTAACCATAACTGGTCTTTGAATAAATACTTACTCATACCAAAACCAAACCAAAAGTAGTTGTTCCCTTCAAAGTAGAAGTTTCATAGAATTTTAGGTTTGCGAGTCATGTTTTATCAGTTTACAACCAAGTGTCAGTATAAGATAATGCTTCTGGAGATCATTCTATATGAGACATTTAAACAAAGTTGTGGGCTTACAGCAAGTAGATGACCCATGAGTACCTGTTTCATTTGTATGACATTCACTTAGGTTATTTAGGATATTAAATCAACAAAACATTTCCCGGCATCTCCTAAAAACTCATCTCCCTACTGCAAACTCTTATTTAGTGGCTTTCTGTTGATTTATCGAGAATCCCTGGAATTAAAGCATTGACCACAAAGTGTTCCCAAATTCTCACAGTATTTACCTAGTTCATAACTATTTATACATAGTTTTGTGCACTTGATAAGGACAGGGAATATTTTTGGAGACTTTGTTTTTGAGTCCCTGTGACCTGGGAGCTCCTCAACAAAGGCATGAGCTCTACCACACATCAGGAGAGGAAGGAGATAAATACAGCACTAAGAAGGGAAGCATCTGAGTGTCAGGGATGACAGCTGTTACTCTCTGGTCCCCACATGTTAATAACTTCTGAAATCTACGTCATTGTTTTGTGGAATCCGGCTTAAGCATTCTGCTCCAGGAGTCTTTAGCAAAGATGGGACAACCAAGGTCAGGGGTTGGAATGGGAACAGTGGGAGAAAAATGGGCTTTGCAGAGGGTAGTGGTTTACCACCCTGCACAATTCAAATAAAAAATGGGGATAAATCTGAACATTGTCTTTTCATATAATAAAGTGGATTTTAAAATATTCATTGCAAACGAAGCAGTTTGCCAATTTTTGTTGTTACTGCTTTGTTTTGACGTTCATCTCTCTTGTTTAAGGGAAGAAAGTGGCAAGTGGAGTACACAGAGGCAGAGTGAAAGGTGAATTAATCTAAATCAAATTAGATAGAAGAAGAAGAGCTGGAACTGTCCTTACAAAGAATTCTTGATTTGATTTTTCCCCCTTTAAACCTTAAGTCATCTGTTTTCAAAATTTCAATATGAACATCACTCACCTGAGAACAGTATTAAAATGTCAACTTCCAAGACCCCCACCCCATCCTGCCGCATAGTTCAGATGTAGCAGGTCTATGGCAGAGCTCTAGAATGGATATCTTAACACTTACCCCAAGTCAACCATGATGCAAGTGACCCTAGAACATTACCAGGGCATGGTACCACACACATGTAATCCCAGTGACTCAGGAGACTGAGGAAGGAGGATCATAAGCTCAAGGCCGGCCTGGGCAATTTAGAAAGACCCAGAGTCAAAATAATAATAAAAAGGGCTGGAGATGTAGCTCTGTGGTAAAGTGCTCCTGGGTCAAATTCCCAGTACCAAAAAGAAGGAGGAGGAGGAGGAGAAGGAGAAAAGGAAGGGAAAAAGGGAGAGGAAGAGGAGGAAAATGAGGAGGAGGGGGAGGAAGGGAAGCACATTGGCAATGATGAGTTTTTACCTCTAAAAATTAATGAGGGGAGTGAATGGGAATGGAAAATGGTGACATTCGAGGTGACCAAGGTGTTTAGCTTTTCAACCCTGGGTAGTCACTGCTCTTGTGTCTCAGCACTTCTCCATCCACTTTGCCCAAATCATAAAACACAGTTTCTCAAGATAACACTTCCTAACACCCCAGTTCTTTGGATTTATGTATATTTTTAGAGCTGATAAATGAAATTTCTCTTTTTCTAGGCACATTCTGTTTTTCTGTTTCTGGAGGATACCAAAAACCTCATTAAGAAGTTTGATCAATTGCATGGGAGTATGAGCAGCTGAAGAGAAGAAAGAGATGAAATAGATGAAAAAAGAACACAAATCCTCAGATTACTAATATGCAAATCCCTAAGCACAAGCTGAGTAAATACCTACAATTCCCACTAACAGCTTCAGAGAAAGGCAAATTTTATTCACTTCCTGCTTTCCCTGCTAATCATTTGTGTAGACCTTTCATAAAATAATCAAAAAACAAAACATCCCTCTTTCCAGGTTTAAAAGGGATTCATAGATTATAAATACTATCCAAGAGAATATGATCTAATCCTGATGACTTGGTAAACTATTTGACCAAGATAACTTAGCTGGCTTGTGGTAGGTGACTCTAGAGCCATTTTTTTTAAAGATCTTAATAGTGATGACTGAACTAGCAGATCATGAAGTCTATTTCCTGGATCTTGAACATTATTTTTAGAAAAATTAAACATTAAAAAGGAAATGTCAGAGGTATTAATTACATACACAGCCACTGTTGCATGAAACATGTTTATATATGTGTGTACACTCAACACACCTGTACACAAATATGTGCAAATTGGATTACCACATAAAGTCTATATTTTTATCACAGGTTAGACCTTAAGTTGGGAAACCTGTTCTATTCCATTATATGGCCTCAAAAACTATTTGAAAGAAGGAGCACTGGAACTGGGTCTTCAAAGTCTGTTACAATTTTACTGATACCAGAGAGAATCCCACATTTCCTACCAGATCTCTAAGGAAGTATCATCCTCAGTATTTAAAAATTAAAATCTGCCAGGCATGGTGGCACAGGCCTATAATCCCAGTGACTCCAGAGCCTGAGGTAGTAGGATCTCAAGTTCAAAGCCAGCCTCAACAACTTAGTGAGGCTACCTCAAAATTTTAAAAAAATTTAAAAAGGGGAGCGCTGGGATGTGGCTCAGTGGTAAAGTGCCCATAAATTCAATCTCTAGTACTAAAAAAATAAAAATCTGTAATGCCTTGTGTGAAAATTTGTACTGGGGAAGCATATGCCACAATCAAGCCAAAGGCAATCTCAATATTCATTCATCATGCAGTATTTTGAATTGTAGTTGAAATGAATAAGACGGAAAGGCAAACGAAAATGAATTCAATTGATGGACAGGAGGAAGGAAGGAAAGACTTAGAAGTCCAACAATGGGCATTTTTAAGTAAATTAAGACACCATACTCTATTGTAGTCACATGATTTCAGTTGGGGAATACCCTCTGATTCAGAGTTTCCAGAAGGGTGTTATTCATCATCTAGAATATGCTTCCCCAACTTAGATCCCAAAGATGGTAGTATAGCAAGGATCCAGAGCATTCTTAAAAGGTATATAGCTCAGCTTGTGATGGGAAGTTCTTTTAATGACAAAGCAATTGAAGTTTCACTATGTCGAGGAACTTTGAGGAAGTCACAAAAATCCACAATTTAAAAATATATTTCCTATTATACACACATAACTACTTTCTAGAGTAAAAACCAAAGCCTTATGAGTCTGTTGTTTACCGTGTATATGTTGTACCAAGGTATATCAAGTAATATCAAGATGTTCAGTCACCTTCCAAAGGTTCTTATTAGAACGGGGCAGAACCTGACAGTAGAATTTACTAAGATGTCCTGGAGTAAGAATAAAAGAACCTAAAATCAAAGACTAAAATCTTTGTGATTTCAGGTGTTTGTTTATTTTAAATTTTTGTTTAAGATATAATAGATGTAAGTTTATTTTAGTTTTGGGCACTGTTTGTTAAGAGTAGTTAAGTTAGATTCTTTTTTTGTTTTTTTTACACATTTTTGGCACATATAGTTGTATGCCCGATTTTTGTTAGATATTTATACATGCACGCAATATAATTATACAATTTGGTCAATATCATTCCCTAGTATTTCCCCTTTCCCTCTTCTTCCTCCCCTATTTTTTTTTCACTATAGTATGATGACTTTAATTTTTTAGGATAAATACTGAGTAGTGATATTGCTGGGTCATAGGGTGGTCCCATGCCTAGTCTTTTGGAACTGCCATGCTGATTTCCACAGTGGTTATACTAATTTACAATCCCACCAAAGTGTAAAAGTGTTCCTTTGTCTCCACAACCTCTCTAGCATTTATTACTGTGTTTTTGATGGCTGCCATTCTGACTGGTGTGAGATGAAATCTCAGCTGCAGTTTTGATTTGCTCTAATTGCTAATGATGCTGAACATTTTTTTTCATGTGTTTGGGAGGCTTTGTAAAAAAATTTTTCTTTTGAGAATATCCATTTAATTCACTTGTAGAGCGCTGTTCTTCATGAAAACCTTACTTACTTACAGGAAAAAGCGGGGCTGGAAAGTTTCACTTTTCGTTTCGTTTTCACATTTATTTATCCCAAGAACCCAGCAGGCTGGGAAAAGCCCATACACCTAGTGGAATTGCCCTGGGGCGGAGCTTTGTGCCAGAGGGCGGGGACGCCCTCTCGCCTGCGAGGTCTTTAGAGCGCACACACGCTACATCCCCTGGTCGCTTAATCTTGGGTACCGGCTCCTGACTCTTTGCGCAGCCAGCCACGAGTCTCCCCACCCGCAGGTAGGGAGCGTCCTTCTCCCGCCCCGCACCCACTCCAGGTGTCTCTGGTCGCTACAGGAGGCATTTAAAAGACAGGGTCTTTGGGATGGAGAGAGGAGAGGGAAATGGGAAGTGTGATACTTTGTGGTGCAGCAGAACTCATTTGTATGGTAGGGTTAAGACCTAAAAACAGGCAATATATCTGGCCTTTTGACAGTTGCTGTTGTTTTGCACTAATGTCAATCTTTTATGCATGTGCATGGATACGGTCATGAGAGGTAGCTGGGTCTAGAGAGAAATTACTAGATTGGAAACCGGGATATTTGGGTTCTAGTCCAACATTAAGTTATCACTTGTAATATGACTCAGGGTAAGTCATCCCACCTTCACCATCTCCTAAGGTCCCTTCCAGTCTTGAGATCCAGGACGCAAAGGCCTAAGTTTCTTGCTGTATCTGCTTGAAAGATCAAAGGGAATCCTGGAGGAAGAGTGGAAGAGCCTAAGAATAAAAATGTTAAGACCTTTCTTAGATACATTGACTTTGACCTGTGTCTAAATTCAGTTTGGGATTGCTTTAAAACACAAGGAGTAAAAGTACCATTGTTCTAACTAGTTGTTATTATTGTATATTTAACTGTGAATGCTTTTCTATGAATTAAGTAGCCTTCTAAAATATTTTTTAATTATTGAATTTCATGGTGCTAGGGAACCAATATTATGAGATTACTCTCCCATTGCTGAACATAATGGTTATTCCTAGGGTTCACTGCGCTAGCCATTCACCAAACCATTGCACATAAGTCTCTAGGAAATTGCCAATTTTTGCCTTCAGATAAACTGTAGAAGTGTTAATAGTCAGTGTCTTGTATATTTGGAAGACCTTTTCATGAATATTTAAAATTGCCTTCCAGAAAAGATGTACCAGTTGACAATGACAGTGGTCAACAATATATAAGGAGAACAATGATACTCTGAAGAAAAAACAAAAAGTAGATTTTTTTTTCAATGGAAAGTGATAGGTGGAAGCTACATGATAGCAGTCAGAGTATGGTCTTTCACAAAGCCTGAGAAATAGCTTGGGGGTTTGAAGTCGCATGTGGAAAATGTACAAGAGTGATTCAGTGTGACTGGGGCAGGGGGATGAGGTTTAGTACAGTTTAATAGAGCTTTAAAATTTACTAAAGATTTGATAGATCAACTCTCTTAGTCCTTGCTTTTACTTTTGAGAAAGAAAACTTGCATTGTTGCATCTTCCTCATAGCCGTCCTACCCTGGGAAGATAGAAACATGGTATCACTTCCTTGGTGTTTGTACTGGACTTCTCCCAGGGGCAAACCCACTTCCCCATCCTGAAAGAGCCCTTGTTTCTTCCCCAGGTCACATTTCATTGCTCGTGAAAGTGTCCACTCTTGTCTGGGAATTCACACAAGGTCAGTTTCTTACCGGAAGAAGATATCAGTGTTCTCTTGGACCAACTACTCTCATGTGAGTTTTAGAGATCAAAGAACACGTTTATTTACATGGTCTCTTTCCTCCCCCTTTTCTTCTCCCACTCATGATAGTTGCACTCCAAGGGAACAAAGCCTTAGAGGAGAAGGGATGATGAAGAATTAGGTAAATATCAAATCTAACCCATCACCTTCAGTAAACTTTAATTGCATCTAAAATTTCAACCAGATTCATTAAAGGATTAAAACTCCACCAGAGTATGCCATAAACATTTTCAAAATTAGTTGTAACCCACAAGTGAATTTAGTGTCTCTCTGTTTTATTCAACAGTGCTTTGCTTGTAATTAGGGGTATCCCAAATCCTCTACTGCCTGATAAACATATTTGTGTTTATAATATCACATTAATATTTTATAATTGTGCTATATTCAATACTGGCTCATCGAAAAGACACTCAGATGCTGCAGCCTCATTTTTGCAACCTTTGTGTCCTCAAAGGATTAGTTATATTCCTGCTTCTCATCTGCAGTGTAGCTGGAGAGGAAAGAAATAAGAATTGTGCACCTTGAACTAGCAAGAGGATGATTCATTTTATTTTTAATATTTTCATATATGCATTTTTAACATGAAAACATGTTAGCATAACTATACAAAGAAGTTATCAGATAATTCCCAAAGAACTAAATGATAAACAAACCCACAAAAAATTCAAATTGTACTTTTCAGTAATGAAATTAGGAAAAAAAAATTTAAATAATGCCAGAGGTGGATGAATATACTATATAATGGTACCAATTTTCCAGAATAAGTCAAGAACCAAGAAAATATTTTTTTCTCCTTGATCAGCAATTCTTTTGGGGGAAATCTATCTTTAGGGGCTAACCTGGGGCCTGGCACATAATAAACACTCAATAAATAGTTTCTGAATACACAACACTTGTGATTTTTTTAAATTGGCAATAATTTGATACCTAACAATAAATGAATAAAATGAGACTATTAAATAATGTCTATGAATATCACACACCAAATGGAAAACATTTATCATAAGCTTCAATAAAAAATGAATATTAAATGTATGTTAACATTCTCTTCTTTTAAAGATTCATAGGGAAAAAGACTGAAAGAAAAATATTTTCCTGAAATAAAATGGTCACAGAGTTTCTCAACCTTGGCACTTATTGTTTTCTAGGCCAGATATGTCTTTTCTGTAGGAATGCTGTCCTGTGCTTCAGAGCACCTTCCTAGCCTCACCCCTAGATACCAGCAGCAACTCTCCCCTGCCCAAAACCTGTTTTGACAACCAAAAATGTTTCCAGGTTATTACTAAATGTCCCTGCATGACAGTGATAGAACAGGGGGTTTTCTCCTTCCTTTCTCTTTTTTCTGTAATGTGGTTATATCAAATTTATAATGAAGAAAAACATTAGATTAATATCCTCATTCTACCTCAATTTGGACTCCATTTCTGGGGTTCTTCCATTATAACACTTTAGTTTGCCAAAAACTCATCATTTTTTTTTCTGATAAGAAAAGTAAAACCATTATTCATTTGAAAACTCAGAAAAACACTGATGAAATCAATCACAATCCCATTTATCCTTTTTCTGTCTTTTCTTCCTTTTAAAAACTATAAGTGGGTGAAAACTTACTTGCCTTCCCTCTAATTTCACTCATAGATATGATCATTGTTGGTATTTTGGACATTTCCTATGTCTAAAGACACACACACACACACACACACACACACATACTTTTTATTTGTTGAACAAAAATGGATTTCTGCTTCATATACTGTTCTGAAGTTCTCTTTCTATGCCTCCTTTTGCAAAAGTAATACATATACATGTACTGAATTCTATCCTTAATGGTATCATATCAACAGAACAAAATTTATTTAACCATTCAGACCATCTAGGGTATTTTTTTCCGTTTGGAGCTATTATTAACAATGCAATGTCTTTACATATATTATTGTATGTATTTGTTTGTGGGTTTGTATGATAGATTTTTAGGAGAGGAGTGAAAGGTCACAGAGACATATACATTTGAAATTTCAAAAAAGATTACCAAATAGCCCTCGAAAAAAAGATATACAGCTTCTCCTTCCCACCATTGATGGGCAAGAAAGCCTATTTGTTTATGTCCTTATAAACACCAAACATTAGTAATCTTTGTAATTTTGGTCAAGCTAATAAGTGAAAATGGTACCTTATATCCTAAATATACATTTTATTGGTGCCATCCTTTCCTATGTTTACTGGTATTTTTTAGTCTCTGAGCTGTATGTTAGAAATTATTACTTGTTTTACTCTTGGGTTACTGTAATTTTCTTATTGATTTTTAGGAGCTGTTTATATATTGGGAACATTAATCTTCTGCTTTATATATCTGTAGCATTGATTAATTGTGTGTATTTATATAGAGGTTGGAGAGATACTGACTTTCTTATCAAAGTGTATAAATGTAACACAAAAGACAAAAATGTGTTAATAAATAAATAGCATGGCTGAAATACCACAAATTTCTCTTCCTCCCCTACTTGAATATGAACTTCAAGAGAAGAATGACTTTTCTTTTATATTCATTGCTATATCTCCAGTTCCTAAAATAGTGCCAATCACAGAAGAAGTGCTCAATCAATGGTTTGCTGAATAAAAAAATCAGTAAAACTTTAAGCAAGATGACAAAATGAAGAAAAGAATGAATATAGATAACTCTGGGAGAGTGACCACAAGACATTCATATCTTAACATAAATTGACCAACTCTCTCATCTTCCCATCTCTTGTAACTAACAAATTCTGTTTATTGAGAGAGTAGGATTTGTAGTTTGGAATAAGTGAGAGGCATAAAAGATTTTGAGGGATGCATCTGGCCTACTTGTTATAGTAGAGTGGAAGTCTTGAAGAGCCAAAGGTTAAAATGAAAATATTTAGTCATAGAAGGAAAAAAAATATTGGAAGGTGAGAAGTAGAAGTCAAATTTTCCTTACTTTGAAATTTTTGCATAGGGCACATTTGAGTTTCTAGATAAGTTACCGTGCAGAAAACATGAAATAGCTGAGAGGATTTGGGCAAAGTATTTTCTTCTTGGCTTTTGTTGAGTGTACTTTACAATTTACAATTTTTTTTCAGGCCTGTAACCAAATTTAAAAATGCTCATCACAGTAACTCTATTCACTTGGCTTTATGTGGTTCTGTGCTATTAAATAAAGGTATTTAACTTCCAAATTCCCCTGCTATGGTTCCACACTTAGACATCAGTTATCACCTGGTTATCAGGACTGTTTCACTTAGAACTGCCAAGTGCCCTCCTGTTGTGCTATGTGTTCAACTGTTGAATAAAGCAGTCTTCTTTTTGTGTTTTCCATAACTAGGTCATTGCAAAAAGATGAGGATGTTTAATGTCTTTATATTCACATCCTTCTGTCATTTGCTGAACGGTAAGACACCAAATCCTTTCATTAGGTTCTGTATTTTAACTATTTTAACCATGAGTTAAAAACTTAAATAATAATTTTAAGTGGACATAATTTGTATAGAGAGAACAGTCTACTTATTTCATTTAAAAAAAATCACCTGTGTCATTGTATAAAGACAGACAAACTGAAAGAAACAAAATTCAATGATTTCCCATGAATACCTTATTGAAAATTTCTAGAGAAATGGCCTATACGTACATTATTTGCTTGTATTAAACAAAGCCAGGATCACAGTTGATATTGCTTATGACCTGCTTTTCCTGATGAAAATATTCTAAGGAAGAATTTTAGTGTGTATCAAAGTTTTAAGGGTAATACAGCACTGGTAACATACTGGGGCCCTCTCTAAATTTCCATATCCACTTACCTCTGACCAGAGAATGGATCAAAAATGCAGGGGAGTAAGAAGAGAAGATTATGAAATCTACCACTCAGGCTGTGTTGAAAGCAAAGGACATTCTGGGGATGTCCATGTGAAAATAGGTCTCTGTGGTTATAAGTTCTCCATCACCATATAATATTTTTACAGGAATGTATGTTTACAAATTGCGGGGCAACTTGTTTAACTAGTTTTATAATTCTAATGCAGGGATCAGAACTAGTGTCCCAAAACATGTTTCAAGCCCACTGGATAAAACATGTATTTTAAGAAACTAAAATCCTTGAAATATGATATGTCAAGAGCTTTATAATGTTTTGAACAACCAATAAAAAAAAATAAAAAATAAAATAAAAAAAAGAAACTAAAATCCTTAAATATAATTATCTTATAACTCACCAGATAAGGTGATTGCAAGCCCTCTACCCATTTTGTAAATGTTTTAAGGAATTTTCTATGTTCTGAAGATTTGCCATCTTTCTTTTCAGCCTTTAGTATCACTGTTCCCAAGGACCTGTATGTAGTTGAATATGGCAGCAATGTGACAATCGAATGCAAATTCCCAGTAGAAAAACAACTAGACTTGGGTTCATTAGTTGTCTACTGGGGAAAGGAGGATGAGGAAATTATTCAGTTTGTGAATGGGAAAGAAGACCTGAAGGTTCAGCACAGTAGCTACAGGCAGAGGGCCTGGCTGTTGAAAGACCAGCTCTACCAGGGAAATGCTGTCCTTCAGATCACGAATGTGAAATTGCAGGATGCTGGGGTTTACTGCTGCATGATCAGCTATGGTGGTGCAGACTACAAGTGGATTACCTTGAAAGTCAATGGTAAGAATTATTGTAGATAAAGAAAGCTAAACCTTAATGAAAAACATATCCCAAGTGTTGAGAGCTTATCATTCTTAGAAGTTCAGACTTAATTTCCAACAGAATACCAGCAACCTGTTCACTAATTCATTCATTCATTCATTCATATACTCATCTAGTGAGTACTTCTTTGAGCACCTTTTATTTGGCAGTCACTGGTGACCCAGAGTCAAGTAACACAGAGCCATGTTATACAGTATGTTCAGTTTTCCACATAATAAATTCCCATTTTTTACTTTTTTATTATTATAAAAGCAATACATGTACCTGTAAATAATTTGGATGCTATGGAAAGGAATAAAATGAATTGCAAAAGCTTCCTTCCTCCCTTTACCACTATCTTTCACAGCATGCAAATATAGTTAATACTATTTGTATAACCCTTTGGAAGCTTTTTTTCATTATTTTAATTCAATTGCTGTTTTTTAATTTTATTAGGTCTGCTGTATTTTCCTTCCTTGGAATGTCTGTATGTCTCAAACCCCAATAAATATATTTAAAACAAATCCCATAATTAGGTTCACATTCAATAACAGTTTAAGCCAATCTATGAAGGCAAAAAAATAATCACATCAAGTATAAAGAAAGCCATTTGTCCCCAGAGATGCCAACAAACTCTGATCACCAAGCATGTATTTATCTTAAGAGTGTATGCACCAGTGTTATCTTGGAGTGTTGAAGAGGAACTGTAAGTGTTAATTCCTGAGTACTGACCCATAACTATGTCATCAGGTCACTAGAGTTCAAAGTATTGGGTTGGTACTAGCTAAGGGAAGGAAAGCACCTTAGCTGACCACCTCTGCTTTCACTGTTGAGTTTCATAGAATTGAGAGGTAAAAAGATCCCAGGAATGAGCAGCTAATCCAAACTCCCACAAAGAACAACAACAACAACAAAAAAACCCAAAGGATTTTCTGTTTCTGGTTTGTTTGTTTATTTGTTTGTTTTTGTATCAGGGATTGAGCCCTTAACCACTGAGCCTCATCCCCAGCCCTTTTTATTTTTTATTTTAAAACAGGGTCTTGCTAAATTGCTTAGGGTCTTGCTAAGTTGCTGAGGCTGGACTTTGAACTTGCAATCCTATTGCCTTGGCCTCCCCAGCCACTGGGATTATAGGCATGTACCACCTCGCCTGGCAGATCTTCTATTCTTATACTCCCCATATTTACCAGAATTCATTCATCTCCCCTTGGTCTTCCTATTCCTAAGATAGCTATCATCAATCTGAAGGTCCATGATATAAACAGGAAAATTTAGATTTATTATGAAAGATCACTGATAATTATAAACTCAAAAATAAAATTATATAGTGATTAGGAGAAATGCATCCATTTTATGGCACATTACTGGGTGTCTAATGCTGGCTTAATTAATGCTACTGATGTTAAGAAAATGTCACTTGCCTCATGAAGTAGACTTGATTTTCATTATGTTTTACCATTTGCTTCTCCTTCAAGACAGTCATGGAAAAAAAAAAAAACTTGGGATATGGTTGTTTAAATTGTCAACTTTTCTTGGGTTCATCAGCGATATTAGGTATCTATTGTGTTCAAAGGCAATTAAATAAATTAGCAAGCTTTAAGCCATAAGCTTGCTAGATCTAGGATGGGGTGAAAGAACATCAACCTGGCAGTCAGGAAGAAGGAAGCATAGAGTTTAAGTTTCTGTTTCCAAAGATCTCTGATCAGCCTGTCAGGAGTATGCAGGCAGATGGCTGACTTTGTAAATGAGAAAGAGTTTATACCAGGTTATCTGGGGCTCTATAATATCTCTTCAACATAATAAAAGATCTTCTAGCACTGAAGGTTTTTCCTAGGAGGGGTCCTTGATGGAGCAAAGCAAATGACCAAGCAGATTTGACACCTGGTTTGTTGAGCCATTCCATTTTGTTTTATAAATTAGCCTCTCATCCCAAACCATCTTGTTATTTGCATACAGGAAGATGAGTTGAGCTAAAGCAAGTCTCAACATTCTGTGTTGAGAACAAGCCAGCCACCAAGCTTCAGTTGCACTGAGGCACTGCCACCTGTGGACATTTGGTGGCTACACTTGCACAATTTTACAACCTAAGGAAATAGAACTACTGAGTCACCTCCTTATGCAAATGATTTCACAGTAATGCTCTTGGACTTCTCTTCCCATCACTGCAAATATGTGGTAACACAGCTCCCCACAGGGAGTTTACTCACCACGGGGCTTTATAAGTGAAGCATTTCAAAAGTGAAATTTGGAAAGGTTTGGTTTTGGATTAACTCAATTCTTATCACTTTGGGTGTTATTGCACCTTTTGTGAACAGGTTATAATATGTGGAAATTTATTTCCAATGGTGTTCATCAGGAACTGCCACAAGAGTACACTTCAGTATTAAAAGAGGAAGAGAAGCAGCTCTACCAGTACTACTGCTAACACTTGGGTAGCACTTCTATGGGTTAAGCTCTGTATTAAGCTTTTTTGCCTAAATCATTTCATTTAATCTTCAACATGACTCTTGTCTAAGGTGAATATTTTTCACATTTTACTAGCTCTGAAATTTGAATGTGTACTTTTGATAGGTATCTTAGATTCAATGATATGTGGCATTATTCTTCCCATTTTAAGAATGGGGAAACTGAGGGCTGAGAAATCAAGCAATTTATCCGAGGCCATCAGACTAGTAAGTGGTAAAGCTGAGTTCTAAACCCAAGCAGACTGGCTCTAAAATCTGTTATTAATAATCATGTTTTTCTGCCTACCTTTATACCTCTGGCATGTGTATCAGGTTGTATGACTTCAAAACTACTTTGAACTTTTCTTAATCTTGATCAACCAACATTAGCATAGTGCTCTAGATCTAGTAAAACAGAAGTCAGCAAAAATTGTAAAACATTTTAAACTAATGTGTATATAATTATAAAGAATATACTTTGTACTAATATATAGATTGTATTATAAGGAATTGACATTTTAAAAGGCAAAGAGGATGACTTTCACCAACTTCATATGGTACATGATATGTTCTAGGAATATACAAAAATAGACATTTCAAAAGGTAAAGTAAAATTACCAAGCAATACTTTTAATATCTTGCTAATTGAGATGCTTCACTCATTAGTTTATATGGCAAGGCATAATGCACCTTAGGGTAAAATTCATCATTAGCAAAGGTAGACAGTCTTGATAATCTTGAGGATTTTAGTCCACACTTTGTCAAGTCCAATTAGGTCTTTATTGTTTTAACCTCATAAAGTAGTTGATAAAAAAAAATCCCTTCTGACATTTCCTTTTGGTTTGTATTTAAATTACTAGTATTATCTTCAATTCTTGGTTTCTTTGTGGAAAAGTTTTTAATTAGTTGTTCATTTCATGAGAATATTAGTTAAAAGTAGATATTAGAATTTGAAAATCCATAGTAAGTACAAACTGGGTCCCCATTCTCCCTTTGGTGTTGTGAAAGTCCTCTTCCTGTAAGACCCCTGTGTGGCTGACTGAGACCCAGTGTCAAAAAGCAAAGCTTGTGAAGCTTAAATTATTTTTTAATTGATATGACAGAAATGCATATAAGTGGAAGTTCTAGCATTTTCTTCCCATACCTTCACACATGTGCCCCACTTTAGGGACTAATGCGCAGCTATGTACTCAGTCCTTGTGGAGTGAACCACTCACTTGTTAGCTCTTAGGGCTGCATCATATGTGTACTTGCTCCTCTATGTGAAACAGCATCCTTCTTCACCCTTCTTCCATTAAAAATGATAATAGAAGGGTTAAAAAAAAAAAAGGCAAAAGCATTTTAACCCTAGTATTTATCACTAACAGTAAGTTTAGGTTGAAATTCTAATCGCCCATAAACCAAGCTCTGTGCTATGTGAACTTGATCCTGTTATGTTAATAGCAGTTTGTGAAGTATAATCAGTGGATTCATTTTTAAGTGGTCTTTAAATATGACAGTTAAAAGATGGATGGCCGAATTATTTTTGTGTTTCAAAATCATAATTATACTGATTTCATTGGTTGTGATTTCCTTGATTTAAGAGCACCAAAACATCACATCATTATTTATTTATTTTGTTTTAAGCTAGTCGCTTTGTTAAATCTCTGTGAAAGTATTATATCACAAAGCTTTTGTTATGTCTTTGGTAAAGAATTGGAGAGTTATAGATGATTAGTTGTTCATTAAAGTATTAGGTATAAAGCAATGGTTATGTCAACAGAATTAAAAATATGTTGATGTACTTGTAATGAGTAAACATGAATATAAATCTTATGCTATATATAAGCATTAAACAATCTACTAGAATAGTCAGCAGACTGAGTATCTTAATCCTAAAAAGTTCTCAAACCAATTATCTAAAAACTAATTAGACTTTCTGCCATGAATATAATAATTAAAAGATGTACTAAAATAGCAAACATAAAAAAAAATTTTAAATCATATTATGGTAACCCAGATGGGATCCTAGAGCAGGAAAAGTACATTAGGGAAAAGTTGGTGGAATGGAATAAATGATGGAATGTGGTTAATAGTGATGTACTAACGTTGGCACTTCAGTCATAGCAGTTGTACCAGAGTAATGTAAGATGTGAATAATGAGGGAATCTTGGTAAGGAGTATATAGTAACTATTATTTTTACAACATTTTTGTAGATCTTAACCCATTCTCAAATTTAAAAATGTACTTAAACTTTAAAAAGGGTCACTAGGAACAAGTATTAATTTTCACAAGTGACATAGTATGTCTTTTCAAATCTAACTTCTGATCATTGACTCAAAGTTGAACAAGTAAATGACTATCAAAATCAGTTTATTCAATTAAATCTAAGGTATAGTGCGTGCTAGCTATAAAGGTTCATGTTTATGAAGACAGCTTTACAATAAAACAAAGGAAATATCCAGGATTAAATTTAAGAAGAAACAGAGCCTTTTATGAAAGCTATAGCATTTTGCTGGGAAAAACATAAAAATGTGAATAAATAGACATTTCAGTGGATTCATTTTTAAGTGGTCTTTATTTGAATAGAAAGACTACTTGTTTAAAGATGACAGTTTACTTTAGTCTATATTTTGAGTCCAATACATATATTAACATAGTTTTTAAATTTTTTTATTTGTTCTTTTTATTTATTCATGAGAGTAGAAGGTATTTTGACATACATACATGGAGTATAACTTCCCATTCTTGTGGTTGTATATGATGTGGAGTTACACTGGTTCGTGTATTCATATACCAACATGATTTTTATAGCAAGACAGTTGTTTCTTAAAGCTCAGACTTGGCCTGTGCTTTGAAGAGAAGTGTTGAGGTCAACAGGCAGGGCTTCCCTACTGCTAAAACAGCTGACCATTAAGCCTATTTCTCTGAGAATCAGCCTGCATTGATAGATTCTAATGTAGACAACACCAAGACACATGTCTAGAGAAAACTTTCACTTCTTTTTTTCTCATGACGCAGCCCCATACCGCGAGATCAGCCAAAGAATTTCTATGGATCCGGTCACCTCTGAATATGAACTAACATGTCAGGCTGAGGGCTACCCTGAGGCTGAAGTCATCTGGACAAGCAGTGACCACCAAATACTGAGTGCTAAAACCACCATCACCAAATCCCAGAGGGAAGAGAAGTTTTTCAATGTGACCAGCACACTGAGAATCAACACAACAGCTAATGAGATTTTCTACTGTACTTTTAAGAGATTAAGTTTCACAGAAAACAATACAGCTGAATTGGTCATCCCAGGTAATATTCTGAATGTGTTTACTAAAACATGTCTAACGCTGTCCCCTAACAGCTACCATTATGCCTGCTCATCATAGTCATTCAGTGATGGTTGAATGAAAGAATAGCATAGTACTTACAAAATATATGCCATTATGCTATTCCCTCACTTCCATGCATCCAAGTCATAATGCTACTTAATACACATTCAGCAAATATTTATGGAATATTCCCTACTTGCCACGTAGTATATTAAGGATTGGGTATTTGTAGAAGAATAGGACACAGTTCATACTATCCAGGAAACAGGTAAGAAAAGAGGCAATCCAGTTGTATGTTGGAAATGCTCTTGTAGTTGGGGCATCAGGAGGAACCTGAGAACAATACTCAATTCAGGACTTTGTTTTAGGAATCCAAAGTCTAGCATATCAGAGCTGCTCCCTTCTCTCCACAGTTTCTATGCCAGGAAGCAAAGGGAATGTACTTTTTTATCTTACTCCAAATGTGGGAGATCCTTTCTCCCCATGCGCCTCTCTCAAGCTATTCTATGGGTTTTCAACTCAAGACATCCTGGTTGGACCATAGAATGAAAGGCTGCATGTCCCTGGGTAAATACTAGACTTTTGTGGGTTCCACATTCCCTGAAGGGGGTATACATATATAAGGCAAGGTTTTTGTAGGGGAAAAATAAGCTATAGTATATGCAAATGATTTGAGACCCTTGTGAGCACAAATTCAAGTATTTTTATTCCCACTACTCAGCAGTAGTAGGTAGAATAGGAGACAATGTCTGATGAGTCTTGGGCCATTTGAATAAGTGAGGAGGATAAGCATGATGATTAGTACAAACCCAAAGGTGTTCTTATGAGAAGTGCTTTTCACTGCCCCTTCCCCCCTATAGATGTTGACAGAAAAACTCCATGTACTTCAGAGAAAACTACTGGAAAATTGGATAGAAAGGTCAACCCATTTGAAAAACCAATCCAGGGTGCTCTTTTAAACAAAAAGAGCGAAAAGGCTTTAAAAAATAGAGATGTTGTTTCTGGGATTGGCCTTCAATTAAGAGCTGTATTAGTGGACTCCTGCCATTTAAAAATTGTCTTATGACAACTTATTTGTGTGGCAACTTGGAGTAAGTCACCTAAAGGCTATGAGTCTGTTTTCTCAACTGCAACTTGGGGATTTTTTCTTACCTGGTATGCCTAACTTGTAATGTTGTTTTGAGACTCAAAATATGTATGAACAGGCTTTATAAACTAACAGGCTTTATAAACAAAGTCCAGCTGCTGTTGTGACTTTAAAATTCAAAGTAGGAAGTTAGGAATCACGGGTCTCAGCTGATAGTGAGGTTAAGCAAGAACAGACTTATGGTGAAAGAGGAGTTAGCAGTCTCCAAGCATGCATGTGCTGTGGGATCCCTTTAGCCCCTGCATCAGACTGCAGACAGAGAAACTGGTGAGAGAAACCAATGGTGTCCCAAGGTGTTCAAACTCAGGAAAAAGATAACAAGTATTGGTCCTTGCTCATGACCATGGATGTGGAGAGGCAGAAAATCCTTGAACAGTGCCACTTGGCCTTCCAGGTTCCACAGTGGGCCATCCTTGCCATGTACAGTAGACTTCCAACTTCTATATTAAAGAATGTAAGACAAAGTAACATAGTGCATTCTGCCATTTAATATTGAGCAGGCATTCCCTGTGGTACTACGTAAGCACCACACAAGAAATTTCACCTCTCAAGAAATTTCTTAGCCTTTCCATTTTGTAGTCTGGTTAAAGGACTTGCTATAGATCTCAAAGCTGGCCAGTGGGGCCAGAATTAAGTCCCAAGTCCATCTGTCCAAGTCCAGGCCGTCTTCCACTTTTCCATGCTACTTCTATTCTCTTGTCAGAGATATCTCATCATTCTAGCCAGGAGCTTCAGGATTTAAGAAAATTAACCTGAAACTAAATTAAATTAAACTTCAAGGGATGATTATTTCCCTGACTAGTTCCCATGAAAATTTTCTCTTTGGTCTTGTTTTCTTTTTCAGAACCATCTACATTACTTCAAAGGACTCACTTTGTGAAGCTGGGAGCTGTCCTGTTTTGCTTTGGTGCAGCATTGACAATCCTGTTCTGCTTAAGAAAAAATGGTATTTCTTTAATTGCAATGGTCTCCCCTGGGGATGTGAAGTCTGTGAAGGTTTCATTGTTGCCACAGTGACACTTAATAGGCAGAGCCAGAGATGCTAAATGTCCTGCATGTATAGGACAGTCCCCATCAGGGGGGATCTATCCCACTCAGAATGTTAGAGTACTGCCTTATGCTGCCTTCCTATTAGCTTTCCCTCTCAGGGCCCACTTTCAATTATGCAAATGGATTTTAGCTTTGCCACTGAGTGAAACTGGGTATTATCTCTTCCTTCAATGCTGCTCATTTTGCTACACCTATATTGAAGGGTGGCATTGAACCCTGTAGTTGCATTTTCAAAGGGTGAGAGTTGAATAATGTCTGCAAGGAAACTGGCTTGGCTTTGCATGGTGGCACCAAGATTTCTGACTGTTAATAGCAATCACAGTGAAGCTGAGTGGAATTGCCAGAAGATTGGGTGTATAGTGGCAAGAGGTAGAAGAATGGGCATGTATGGAGGCTGAAGAAAACTCAGTGTCATGCAGCTTCTTTCTACTATGCAAATAACCACAAATTTATAGAAGAGAATGTACTTAAATTCCTGTTGGTTTCCATTGAATTTGAGTCTTATATTAGTTACAACATTATATTGAGCTGGTTTCTTTTTTAAATTTTTTTTTTTATTTTTTAGTTGTAGTTGGATACAATACCTTTATTTTATTTATTTATTTTGATGTGGTACTGAGGATCGAACCCAGGGCCTCACACGGGCTAGGTGAGCACTCTACCACTGACCCACAATCCCAGCCCTTGAGCTCATTTCTGAGTTTCCTAAGAAATAAATAGTTCCTTCTATAGAGCTATATATTTACCATGGAGTATACTGCAAGATTTCTGGAGGAGAGTGTTACATAATTTTAAAAACAAATTGCATGTGCTTATTTATTTACATACCCATAGGAATGATTAAAATGCAAGAAAATGAGTATATTCAAATAATTTCCTCCTAAGATGATTCAGAGTAAACACTTCCCCCAATACTTTGAGATTATGTACCGAGAGATCCAATGATGATGTTCACATAGAGGTGTCTGATGTCACATAGGGAAGTAGAATATGAAGGGAATTCCAATACTCATTTAGAAATTCCCCACAACCCCCTAGGAGGGTGGGTGGACCTGGGAAAGTATGTAACTGAATGAGTACAGATCGGTTGTTTTCAAAGAGTAGGCCCTTAACAGAACTGAGACAGTTAGCCAGAATATATGGGTCAAGTTTCAGTAACAGAGAGGTATCAAGACGGAATGGATTTGCATGAGGAAATGATTATTACCAACTTGCATTTTGAATATTCCCTTGGAGAAAAGATTAGTTGGCATTGGGAATGGCCAGAAAACCAATAAAGTGCCTCAGAATATGGTCCATTTCTTTTTAAAAGGATGGAAATGAAAGTATATACTCCTAAAGAAAATCTAAGAGCAAAAGTATATATTCTAAACTGCTGAATTAATTAACCTCGTGGGTTTGGACCTTGGAATAAGGAAATTCACCTGAGTTTCTAAGGAATTAAAAATGTTTCATAGGAACCTGGAGTTTAAACTTGAGTCACTGTGTAAGGTACGGTGTTGTACTACATGAAAATGAAAATTATTTCTCTTTCTTCAGTGAGAATGCTAGATGTGGAGAATGGTGGCATCCAAGATATAAACTCAAGGAAGCAAAATGGTAAGAATGTCATAAAGAATTGGGAAGTTGAAGGAAAATGAATAAAAAAACTAAAGTAATAACAAGGAGAATTCTGTCTATCACAGTCTCCCCTCCTTTTGGAAAAGGCTGGTTGTTGGAATTGCTGGTTCCTCTTTGCCTCACAACTCTAAGAACTCCTTCCATTCTGAGGAGGTTTAGGACTGACCCTCCATAGGAGAGAGGAGACAAGAGGGGAAAGGAGAAGGCAGCTTCTCTTCACTAACCTTCTATTGTCCTGCATCCCAACATCTCCTGCCACAGGGGCCCATGTTGACTTAAGTGAGTGGATAATTAATTCTACAGTGTTGCATATCAGGCACTGTTAACTGATTAGTGTGTGGTATATAGTGTCTCATTTAATCCCCTCCCCCCACACACCAAAAGAATGAGAGAATTCTAGTATTCTAATACTAGAATTATCTCCATTTTAGGGCAGAGAACAGAGGTTCATGACAGTAATGAAAAGTACCCCAAAATACACCGCTTGTGACCAAAAACCAAGTTTGTGGGCCCACTAACCTGACCATGGACCCTTACTCTTCACCTATCTGCTTCAATTCATTTTGCTACAAATGCCTACATTTATAAAACAGCAGAGAAACCTCATCCAGCTGATAGAACTTAAAACAATTATATCAAATCTTCTAATTCATTTTAATGTAGTTAGAAACAAAATTTAACAATGAGCCCCATTTTAAAAAGCCCAGGTAGGTTTCATCAGGTGGTTAATTTGCTCTGTAAAGCTAATTAGTCTACGTGTGGGTCATCCTAGGGAACTGACCCTCCCAGTTTGCTCAAAACTTGGGGGTTTCTTGGGACATCAGACTTTCAGTTTTAAAACCAGGACATTCCCGTGCAAACCAGAAGTTAGTCATCTTTTATCATTCAAGGGTAATTGAGCATAAATATAATCTGCCTCTTTCTCTTATTGAAAACTGATCAAATGGTTAGAAAATATGAGTTTTGTTTCTTGTCAATTTCTTGTTTTTCCAGAACCCTGACCCCATGCAATTAATATACTGTTATCATTCTTCAGATACACAGTTTGAAGAGACGTAACCAGCATTGAAAATTACATTTTACAAGCAGGGATTCTTTGCCTGTTGTTTGGGAGTTCACGGATGAAAGGGCCCATGGGATGCTGCTGATGATGTTGGAATTAAAAGGCCCAAATATTGAAAATAGAACCTGGGGAAAGAAGAGGAGAACAAAGAAAGATGGGAGTAGAAAGGGGAGCCTGGAAGGAAACCTGGGCACTTCAACATAAGCTGAGAGACTTGTTGGTGCATGTAAAAGGGACAAAGAACACTTCTGAATGAGGCGTCTCCAAGCAAACCATCCATCACTCATGCTAGGAAAGTGGGTTGAGGATCCCTGATTTCATGGATGTTCTTGCAGAAGTGCCCTTTGCCTCTCCTTGTCTTCTCCACCTCCTCGTGTTGCAACAGTGTTGAAGAATGAGTTGTTTCTATTTATTTCCAGTCTGAGGGGTCTTGTCATATGACTGTGGCTATGAATGATTTCTTTTGAAGACATACTATAGTAGAAGTTAAAATTTTGTCACCAAACTCTATACTTAACTGCTTGTTTGTGTTCAGTGAAACATCTAGTATTTGTTAGATACTAGTATTCTCTGTAACTGACATTACAAATTGGAAGCATAGAAAATAAGCCATTGGTTTGTATAGGATTTGACCTTATATAACTTATTGATACTTTGTTTGACTTGACTAATCCTATTCTCAGACCTCAGGGGTCTGCTGCAAAATCTGTTCCCTTTAAATATCAGATTTATAACTGTGTGGTACTATACACACATGATCTCATGTATTCCTGTCATCACAACCACTATTATACCCATTTAACAGCTGAGGAAACAGAGAGATTAAGTAGCTTGTACACAGCAGTAAATAGCAGTCTTCAGATTTCCTCAATTTATCTGCTGTCCTTTTGGAATACAATTAACATCTCTATTTTAAGAAATGTGTTTATTTAAAAAGTGTTTAAATATCTTTGTATGATACATGTGCCTTGCATTGGGCCAGGCATTGAGTCTACAGAAGTGAGCAAGACAAAATATCAGTTGCATAAACATGATAATAATCAAAGCAATTTTTAGATTATAGGAAGTCAGTATTTTTTAAAAAACTGTGGAAAATAACTCTGGAATTCCTTTTCTAGCATTATATTTATCCCTGATATGTCTTTACCATACTTCTCTATGTAGTGTGTGGTATTTTTAGCACCTTCTTTTTATTTTTTCTCCATTTATGCTTATTTTATGTTTGCACAGTGATGCCCATGGGTTCTCAGGTTACAGTGAGTCAATCCAGAGTCAATTCAGCATTGAAGGGCAGAGATGTTTTGTTGTTGTTGTTGTTGTTTGGTTTGGTTTGGTTTGGTTTTCTACTGAGGATTGAACCCAGGGCCCTATAAACTCTCTATCTCTGATCTGATCTGCACCCTCAGCCCTTTTTATTTTGAAACAGGGTCTTGCTAAGTTGCAGAGAATGGCCTCCAACTTGCAATCCTGCTGTGTTTGCTACCTGTGGTGGAATTACAGGTATGTACCATTGTACCTAGCAATGGCCTTATTATTAACTCTTTATGCAAGAAACATGTCAAAAACTTTTTAAATATATTTTCTTTTTTTTTTTATACCAAGGATTGAAATCAGGAGTGCTTAACCACTGAGCCACATCACCAGCCCTTTTTATATTTTACTTTGAGACAGTGTCTCACTAAGTTGCTGAGGGCCTCCCTAAATTGCTGAGGCTGGCTTTGTACTTGCAATCCTCCTGCCTCAGCTTCCCCAGCCTCTGGGAATACAGGCATGCCCCACCACACCCTTAGTATAAATTTCACCTTGAATGTTGCACTTGCATAATTACATGTTATTTCTGGAAATTCCAGCAAAGTACCTTGGCTGCTGGCTACCCTGGACCCTTGTCTGTACCAGAAAGGGACCATTTTCTCTGCTTAAACCCTATAATATCATCATCTTTTATCCCTACATGGGCCTCATAAGATATTTTTTTCCAGAGGCACTGAGATTCAGATGACCTTTCAAAACTTTTCCTTCACTCCTGGCAATTTATTAGCATCTTCTTTGTTGCCACGTGTCAATACTGAAGAAACAAAGTCTCCAACAGAACCCCTTATATTATGTGTTTCTACTTTATTTATTTATACAATAATTTGTGTGAAAATGTCCTTTGTTTGATACAAAGACTGTGGATGAGCAAGACATTCATTTGTTCCATACATTCACTCCATTCCTAAGTCTCAACACCTCGTGGTGTTGGATTTATAAGCACTTTAACCCTGTTGTCTTGTGTTTCATTGTAAATTACATATGCAGAAATGTCATCTAATTCTATATTTGATTGTCATTGTTTGTACCTGCATTAATTTAATAAAATATTTATTTTGTTTCTCATTATGCCAATATGTCCATTGTCTTATTTTCTTGGTGTTGTATAAAGCACTTCCAGTTTTACCTACCAATAGGAAAAGTTACTTGGAATATCTGCAGCTCTCTTCATAGATATATTGAATGGATGGATGGATAGATGATTAGATAGATAGATAGATAGATAATAGATTCTGCGTTTACACAGTATGTTCTTTTTGGGTACCAGAGATTGAATTCAGAGGCACTCTACCACTAAGCCACATCCTCCGCCCTATTTTGCATTTTTTATTTAGAGACAGGGTCTCATTGAGTTGCTTAGCACCTTGCCATTGCTGAGGCTGGCTTTGAACTCACAATCCTCCTGCCTCAGCCTCCAGAGCTGCTGGGATTATAGGCATGTGCCACCATGCCCAGCTTACACAGTATGTTCTTGAATCCTACATAATGAAAGAAATCAAAATAATTCATTTTTTAAAATAATTAACTGAAAATTTTTATTTTCTTTCTGGTTTCTTTTAGGACAATACCAAGACAAAATACAAATTTTGTCACTCTGCCAGGTGCAGTGGTACACACCTCTAATTCCAGGAACTCAGGAGGCCGAGGCAGGAGGATCACAAGTTCAAAACCAGTGTCAGCAACTTAGCCAGGCCCTAAGCAACTTAGCCTGCCTCAAAATTTAAATAAATAAATAGGGCTGGATATGTGGTTCAGAAATTAAGAGTTCCTGGCTTCCACTCCCAGTACAATAAAAAAAAAAAAAAATTCTGTCATCCATATTGAAGATCTGAGGGAGAGAAGATAGGAGATAAGGAGGGAGACTCAAGAGGCATATGGAAATCAAGGGGCTTTCCTCCCAGAGTACACCCTTCTCAGATGTGTAAACATGATGTACAAGCTAAAGCACATAAAGCTAGACGTATTTCAATCTCCAGGTTTTAAAAAGGAACTGAGAAACCTAGAACTAGGCCAAATTGAGGATGAAGGTCTAAGAATTGAGTGGGACCATGAAAAACATCTAGATTTTAAAACAAGATATCATTCAAGGAAGAATGGATCTTTTAATGTGTCATCTCGTTTGAGTACTTAGTCATCAAATTCAATTTAATGAGGCTTTTGATCATTTCTCTGAATCAGATGTTTTTAAAGGATGATGTTGGCTATTTCTAATAAATATACATTAGATTCTTCGTTTATTTTCCAGTACTGGGGATTGAAACTGAGGTCACTTTACCACTGAGCTATATTTCCAGCCCTTTATTTTATTTTGAGACAGGCTCTCACTAAATTGCTCAGGCTGGCTTCAGACTTGCAATCCTCCTGCCTTATCCTCCCGTGTAGCTGGGATTATATGCACATTCCCTAGTACACCCAGCAATATCTCACCATTTTTATCTGGGAAAAACATAAAGAAACAATCTTCCTGGCTGGCTTTGGTGATCATAGTTACAGCTGGAATTTTGTGACATTGGGAGGGTTTGTGTATAGAAAAGATAACCTGAGAGCTGAAGATGTAGCTCAGTGGTACAGTGATTGACTGACATATAGGAGACTCTGGGTTCAACTTCTAGTGAAAAAAAAACTGAAAATGAGCCATAGCTTTCATTAAACTTTCCTCCAGCCACTTTTCAAGCTGTGGCTGTCTGCCATAAGCAGGTAAATATATTTTTATCTAAATATTTTAGAAAATTTACAGATTATTGCTATTTTTATTTTTTTTATCAGGGTAGGGGGGAACCAGGGAGTGAACCTAGGGACACATAACCACTGAGCCACCCACCTCCCCAGCATCTTTTCATTTTTTACTTTGAGACAGGATCTTGCTAAATTGCTTAGGGCCCTATTAAATTACTAAGGCTGTATTTGAACTCACAATGCTCCTGCATTAGTGTCTATAACTTCTGAGATTATAGGCATGCACCACCATGCACAGAAAGATTATTACTATTTTAAAGCTGAGAATTCAGAAATGACTTTGCACTATTGATATCCCTGATCAAATTTGTGAAGACAGATTATCCTGTTTTTAGAACTTTTCCCTACCCTAGGCTCCCAAAGTTTCAAGAAAATTTTTATAATAAACCAACTTACCCCCTGTTGTAATTTAAAATACCCAGAATCATTTACATTTTTAAGGAAGTCAGTTTTGACCAAATGAAGTAAGTGTAAGTGGAAGGGTCTTATCATTAATTAATTACAATGATTATTACCATTTGGTGAATGTATACTGTATTCCAGGCACTGTGTTTCATACATTATCTCATTTAATGCTAGGTTCTGACAGGGAGTTGTACCAAATAAAGGCACTGTGTTTGCCTGGAGAGTCAAATCAGGAACATTAAATAAACTGGAATATTTAAAAAGCAAAAAAGTGTATAGTGATATTACTTGGAAGTTTTAAAAACAGAAGTTCTTTTTTTTTCTTTTTGAGAAAAAAGGAAAAAGAAGTTTTATTGTTTTGCTAGCAAAGGAGAAACACAGGGGACTCCTGTCCCAGAGACTGTGATTCTGCCCATCAGCAGGAACAGAGGGAAAACAAAAGTTCTTATTATCATTCTTGCTAAAAATTTACTTATATCTTTTCTCCTCAACACAAGAACATAAAATGGCCATTTATAAGTAATGCATATAAAAATAAGACATTAATTTTGAATGGGCAATAAGTGGCCACACCATGGCTAAAATATATGGTTCTGAGATTCATAGTTGTGAAACTATCATATGTAATATCCAGTTGTCACCAATCTCAGGTCTGATTGTGAATTCTAAAGTAGAAAATTGCAGGAAGTTTATAAATCCATTTCAATCCAAGGAAGCGCTATCACTAAACACAAATTTCCAACTTCCTCCTTCCAGTCAGTGTGACCTTTCTAGGAGGTCTCTTGCACAGGATGAGAGCTGCTGGGTATGGTAACACACACCTCCTGCTAATGCAGGAGGATACAAATTCAAAGCCAGCCTCAACAACTTAGCAAGACCCTGTCTCAAAGTAAAAAAATAAAAAGGCTGAAAATGTAGCTCAGTGATAAAATGTCCCTGGGTTCAATCTTCAGTATTAAAAAAAAAAAAGCAAGATGAGAACTGCTAACCCTATCTTGCCAGGAAGAGAGAAGAGAGTACAGTCCAGAACTTGGTCAGCAGTCAGAAATCTCACTCATGACTTAATCCCACATCAGTTTTTCAGGCTAGGGTTACCAAGGTGAGATGGAGAGGTTAGGAATGTTAAGATCTCTTGATGAAAGGGAGGCTAAGATCTACCCAGTCTTTAAATTTAAATTTCTCCAGGCTGAAGAAGTAGATGGGTTTACCAGCAGGTTTTGTGGCAGAATTGCAGCATATCTCAACACATGGAATTTTTCTTTGTTTCTTTCTACCTCTGTTCTCCTTCTCTGAGGATCAGATAAACATTTCCCTTCCCTACCCCATGACAAAGCTGAGACATACACAGTTACCATTTAATACCTGAATTTCCACTTGGCTTTTCCACAATTCCACTATAAACATCTCAATGAAACAGTTACTCACTGGGTGTCTTCCACAGGCTGAGCACTTACTGGGTATTGTGAGGGATTCAGAGAAACATTTAGGTCCTCATGGAGTCTACAGTCTAACTGAGGAGATGGTATATATAAATTCATGAATAATTAAGTAATAGTTCAAATAATAGAGAATATGAGACTTTGAGAAAACATCTCAAATAGTAAGAGAGGACGGCAATACTGAAGTAGAGGAGAGAAAATGTTATAGTTTGTGTGTGGTTTGTACCACAAAGATTCATATGCTGAAGCTTGGTCCCCAGTCCAACATTGGTGGTGGTGGGACTTTTAAGATCTTTAAGGTGGTAGTTAGGCTTTAAGAGAGATTGATGCCTTTCTCAGAAAGTGAGTTAGGTCTCAGGAGAGTGCAGGAGTGCTGTTCTCGGTTCTTGTTCTCAGGGGCTGGATAAATTACCTGAAGCGAGCTCAGTTTCCTCTATTTGTCCTCTTGCTTCTTCTCTGGCTGTGTTAGTTCTGCATGTGCTGCTGGCTGGTGTCACACAGGCTCCCACCCTGTGATGCCATCCTCTATGTTGTGACACCACATGAAGCCCTCACCAGTTGTAGCCACCCAGTTTGGACTTTTCAGCCTCCAAAACCACAAGCTGAATATAAAAAACTCTTTTCTTTATAAAGTACTCAGATTTCACTTTGGGTACAGCAACACAAAACAAACTAAAGCAGAGAGAATCCTAGAGCCTAGGAAGCCTTCACAAAAGAGTCTGCTTCACATTTCATTAAGGGTAAACATAACAAAGAAAATCTGTGCTCTTTACACTTCTAGTCATAATGTAAATTGGTACCACATCTAGAAAGAATCATTTGGCACTATCAAAAGTATAAATGAGTGAGATGGAATTTCAGTGTAGTTTTAATTTGCATTTCTCCAATTGCTAGAAATGTTAAATATTTTTTTTATATATTTTTTGACCATTCATATTTCTTCTTCTGTGAAGTGTTGGTTCAGTTCCTTTGCCCATTTATTGATTGGTTTATTTGTTTTTCTGGTGCTAAGTTTTTTGAGTTCTTTGTATATCCTGAAAATTAATGCTTTATCTGAGGTACTGGTGGTAAAGATTCTCTCCCCGTCTGTAGGATCTCTGTACACAATATTGATTGCTTCCTGTGTTGTTTGATACCATCCCATTTATTGATTCTTGATTTTACTTCTTGTGCCTTAGGAGTCTTGTTGAGGAATTTGGTTCCCAAGCTGACATGTTGGACAATTGGGTCTAATTTTTCTTCTAGTAAGTGCAGGTTCTCTAGTCTAATGATCCACTTAGAGTTGAGTTTTGTGCAAGGTAAGGTATAGGGGTTCAATTTTATTCTACTATGTATGGATTTCCAGTTATACCAGCACCATTTGTTAAAGAGACTATCCCTTCTCCAATGTACATTTATGATGCCTCGGTCTAGGATGAGATAACTGTATTTATGTAGATGTTATCTCTGTGTCTTCTATTCTGTTCCACTGGTCTTCATGTCTGTTTT